ATATATATATATATATACATAATGTTAAAAGAATAGTTATAAATTTCAAAAAAAAATATTACAATTAACTGAGTAGATAAAAAAATGAGCAAAGAAAAGATTTTAATTTAAACTTGTACATTATTTCACATTTATTCATAATTAGCTAGTTATTCGATGTCATAAAAACCATGGAACGTTTTGACTATACTAAGTCTTCATCAGCCTGATGATAATAATATGAATTTAAATTAAAACGTAATGCTTAAACATTAGACAAGCTCTAAATTTGAAAGATACAAAATATAAAATCATGTCGCAATTAAATATTCAGTGTTATAATTCTGTTTTATAATAACTTAATAACAGATATATATCGAGACATATATAAAAAGCCTCTTGATTTCGCATAATTTTTTTTTTCGCAACGAAGCAAATAGTTCTTATAGACAATATATATTGCGAAATTATTGTACTTAACTGCGATTTCATATCTTTCAAATTTAGAACTTGTTTAACGTTTAAACATTACGTTTTAATTTAAATTCATGTTATTGTCATCAGGCTGATGAAAACAGTATAGTCGAAACGTTCTACGGTTTTTGTAACATCAAATAATTAGTTAATTGTAAATAAATGATAATATACTAATTTAAATTAAAATCTTTCCTTTGCTCGTTTTTTTTACCTATCTACTCAATTAATTATTGTGTTTACAATATCGAGCAGATTACTTCTTTTCTTATTTTTTAGAAAATAATATTATTATATTTAGTACAATACAATTTCTTCATTTAACATGGTGTAATAAAAAAAAAAAATATATATATATATATATATATATATATATATTTAATTTATCACTTTAATATACCAATTAACATATTATTTATATTGTAAATTAACCGGATGTCATATAAAAACAAACTTCTGTTATAGAATAAAATAAATCAAGTCAGTCTACCGAAATTTCGTCAATTTAAATTTCAATTTAAATTAAATTTTTAATTGAATAAATTGCATGTACAATTGAATAATATTTTTAAAATACATCTCCTTCTCTATCCCTAAAAAATTTATTTTAATCTTCTGTATTATAGATTATAAATAAAGTGTCACTATAAATGCCATGATTTCGTACTTTACAATTTTATTCTGTGGCTGACCTTACCGACATATGACGTAATACAAGAATACTGAAATTCCCTAGCAAAAAAGAAACTGTTATATTTTATAATTTTCCTAAAACTATTTATTTTTATTTTTCTTCAAAAATTCTCTCATCTATTAAATAAACGGTTAAAATTGCACATACTTACTTTACGATCTAATCAATTTCGAATCATGTTGATTACATTCCTGAAGATATATCATAGATAAGCCCATTGTAAGTGGGGATGATCATCAGCAATAAGACGAAAGCGTATTTGAGTTTCGCAAGCAACCTTCTATCGACCCGAGCATTTCGTCCGCCCTTAGGACGCCATTACTGAATATCATCTATATAAAGCATACATTTGTAGCATACTCCGTCACTCAAATTGCTATTATTCTTTAATTACGTATATTTTTCAGTATAAAAATTATAGTATCGAGAGAAATGCTACATATTAAAGTTTTCTAACCCGCTATTAAAAAACGCTACGAATTAATTCCAACACCTAATATATATAAAACAAGTTGCATAAATTAAAAGAAAAAATACTTTACTACATTGAACATCTATAATTAACTAATATAATCAATTCATTATTTTTCTTTATTGTGTGCTATATTAACGTATAAGTTTCATGTTAAATTATCATTATATATAATAATCATTGCATATAATAAAATATTGCATATGCAGTAGCAGCAAACATAATGTGTGAAGAAATATTTATCAGTATAACACACTGCTGCTTTTAAGATATAACAATTGGCAAAACAAAATAACATATATTCTTATAACAGGAATCAATTTTAAAGATTCTCTTATTACTTACATATACATTGGAAATTTATAGACCTTTTCTTCTTATTGATATATAATTCATCATGATAAGAATGATGCAAAGTGTCTGTGAAAAATCTGTAAGATAATAAAAATTGGTTAATGAAAAATAATATTGCCGATTATAGACGTTGTAAAAATAAATAAATAAAAATGAAAAAAACAATAAATAGTAAGTGAGCTTGTTATCAAAAATATAACCATCAGTTTTAAGTTACATTTACTATAGTACTTTAATACTAACGATTATACTTACTACGCGAGTAAGTAGCTCACAGATGCACTTTAATAGGAAGAGCAGTTGTAGCCTCGTTGCTTGATATTCTCTAACACAAGGAGAATCTCCGGCTTGTTTCATGGCCGGACGGAACGTCATGGCTGAACCGACGAATAAACCAATAAACGGGGCAACCATCTGCTTGCCAGCCGGCATCTTTCTCTTCCCCTTCGCTTCCCTAGTCGCTCCATAACTCCATTCTTTTCCCCTCGTATTTCCTCCCCTTCACCCTCCTTCTCCCTTCAGCACCATTTTATAAGCGATCCTGAAATGAAATCCACGTGAGAGCTTGCAGCATCCGTGAAGAACTCACGTGGCTTTTGTATTATAATAATAAGCGAATCCACCCACAATAATACGTCTTTATCAGAGCAACTCGATACAATTAAAATAAAGAATAAGAACAATTCTTAATTAAGAAATTAATTTTAATTTTTTTAATGTTGTAATTACTAAAGATCATAATTAATGCGGACTTGCAATAATGTAAGCAGCATCATTAATTCTGCATCATACTATGAATCCAGAAAACAACATTAATTAATTTTAATAATTTATTAATTTATTAAAATAGTATTAGGATTGTCTGTTGTATTCAATAAAAATTGTTGTTAAGAACAACAGTATTAATAATTACGTTATGTGATTCATATTATATATTTTAATGTATAAAAATGTAATATTATACATATATATTAACATCAAAATTATAAAAAATATTAATTTTGATAAAACCACAATCACGAAACAATCATTATATGGAACATTATCGTATAATGCCGGAATGTTAGCAAGTATCTATTATAGCGTGCACAGTCGTACAAAATCTCGAAGATAAAAACTTGGAAGAAGTTGGAAATGCGCAGCAGGTTAGCTACGAAACCGAAGGTCAAATAGGTCGCCATTATCCGAGACCTATTACCTACAACGGACCGTGATACCTGTTTCGATACCGAAAAAAGAAAAAGTCAAGAGAGCAGAGCTGTTCTCTATAAGGAAATTTCAAATATAACTTTTATGAGTCAACTTATACGTATATTAAAAAATATTAAAATATTTGAATTTTAATTTATAATAATAATTTATAATAATAATAATTTATAATAATAATAATTTATAATAAATAATAATTTATAATAAAATGATAATGTGCGACGATTAATAATGATTAATGAAAGAAAATGTTTTACTCAGTATACTGAATTTATATCTACAAGCGCCGTAGATTTATATTCATACATATTTATAACAAAGATTCACGTATGATGCGACAGATGCCCCGAAATGATATCGATATAATAACTCGAAAAGAGTTGACTGCGTGATCGCCCTGTAAAAAGAATTAACAGAACTTTGTATTCTCATGCACAGCATGATATCATTTCTTGCGGAAACGTGTTAATTTATGACACACTGGTGGTTTAATATAATTATACTAATTGTAAGAGTTAAATAAAATTGAGTGGAACGCGCACGTTAATATAGGCTTATAGTGGAAAAAATTATATGTATACTGTATGTATATCAAGTAATTTTATCTCTCAAATTATTAACGATAAATCTTAATACATTATTTTTAAAGATTTTTATCTGAAATTTCAAAATAATTTGCACATTTCAAGTTACATAATTGCTATCAATAAAACTGTAATATAAATTTGATTATATATTATTACAAAATTGATAATATCAATGATAAAAGATTGATACACGTGTCTGGCACGTGCTGTTTGGATATTTAGCGGCACATCCTTATTAAATATATAGCAATCACGGTGGCCATACTTCTCACAAGACGAACATCGATCACTTAACGCTTTGTCGTGTCACGCTACCTCTTGTTCATTCACATGCCGTTTTATGGTTGCAAAATAAACACACATATATACACACAACACACATACTTTTTCTTTTTTTTTCTTGATATATATATGTATTATTTTATACGTCCGAAAAATATTATTATTTGAAATCAAATTATTTTTCTTACATACTAAAAAAAAATAGGTAAAAGATATAGAGAATAATCGAAACAAATTATTAAGGAATCAATAAATCTGTTTTGCTTAAAAATTGTTTGAAAATATAAATTATTATTCTAAAAATAAATCTTTTCGATGAGATACTCAACATGTTTAGAGATAGGAAGGTGTTAGATGTGGAATGTGGACGCCGTAAGTCCTTGATTGGTTTCACAGCCGGCTTATTCTCGTGTGCCCACATGCTCGCTTCAAATGTTACACGCTTTTGTAGGAGACTGTGGAAGATATATTTCATGATTTAGTATGCATTTAGCAGACATTATTCTGTGAAAAATTTCAAACGCAATACCTATAGATAATATTTTATTTATGAAAACATAAAAGGAATTATACCTTTCCAGATCTTTTAATAATATTAATATTTGAAAAAATTCTTGAATATATATTTATTAATACTTAAATTATCAAAGAATTTTTCTATGCCTATATTAATTGTAAGAATGTGATAGAATATAAAAAAATCGCAGTTAAATCAGTAATTAATTAGTAATTCATTGTGTTGTCTAATTAGATGCTTTCAAACATTTACACATAATGCACAAAATATAAACAAACCAAGCAAGATGTATTAATAACGTGAATGTATTAAATAAAGTGGTTCTTTTTTTTTAAACGATTAGGCCAGCTGTAATTATACTAATTTTGTGTAAGTTTTTCTATTCGTGAAAATAAGACACGTAAATTTTGCACGGACCGGCTGTAGTTTTAAATGAAAAATCTACACCGATTCGTAATAATTTTCATTGTGTAATTACATACACATATGTGCTATCATTGCGAGTTATGAAATGAACTGAAATGGAACCGTGTTGCGAGTGAGGAACACTGTGCAAATCGATCGGCATCCTGCCAGATTGCGAGAGGCTATATGGACATCACGAAATTCGCCACCGTCGGCGCCACCGCGGTGGTGCTTTTTACGTGCTGGAGTATATTTCGTTCTGACTGTTGATATGCTAATGATACCTATTTTTCTCGTCTAAAATACATCAAAACGATATTCTAAAGATGTCATGTAAAAAAGGAAACTGAACCATTAGCTTCATTATATAGCTTTATAGCATTATATAGCTTCATAATTTCATACGACTGAATTTAAGGTTTCAGCAAAGACGGAATAATTCCGTTTTGTTTCTCTTAAAATGTTTAGATCAGACCTGTCCAATTTGAGCTCCAGAGCCAAAATGCAAAGCTATCGACGCAAAAAAATTCAATGTGAGTAAGATTTCGGGGATTGTAAAGTATTGATACGCATCTGAATGACGCTTATCAATACTTTATAGTCCTTGAAATCTTACATTGTATTTTTTTGTGTCGATGACATTGCGTTTTGGCTCCGGAGCTCAAATTGGATAGACCTGGTTTAGATTATTTTAATTAAATAGAATCATTTTTTGATGATATTAAGTCATCTAACGGAAAAATACAATACATTATACAATTATACAATATGCTTTGAATCTATCAGATAAACGAATTATTAAGATTATTTAGGTTGGATAAAAGAATTCTATTTATACAGTTTTTTTAAAAAGATATATATATATATGTTATTTTTACTATAAATATTGTAATAATTAAGATATTGTTAAGGCCTGTAATTTTATAGGCTAAAGCAAATTATTTTTCCGCATCTGTGTAGCTATTTTCAATTCTCGTTTGATAGATAGTATTAAGAATAAGAGAAACAGATAGTATTAAGAATGTAGAATACAGATTTATCGTATATCAAAATCTTTTCATATCCATCGATATCAGCATTATATTTTCGTAAGAAAATCAAAACGTATTGTACCCTTTTATGGATTTTAAGCTCAAGTTTCGAGCAGTCTTTTAGTTTATTACGTCATTAAATTTAGATATGCCACTTCTCTCATAGATAACAATGAATAAATTTTAATAGAAAAAAAAAATGAGAACGAAGACTTACCAATACTGCTCATAAAAGTATCCTTAATAAAGCACAAATCTATGTCGATTCACTATTAATCACAAAACGATTCCCATTCGATAAACGTACAGGCGTCCATAGGAGAACGAATCTCCAAGCTAGGGATGAAATTGCGCACGAATCGACGCTGGGCGTCGCCATCGTAGGGATGGAACAGTCAGGACGCGGCAAGGTGGTGAATTCAGGGATGGAGAGTGGGGAGAATTCGAAAGTCGAGCAAAGAGCTTCGTGTCCGACCGCTGCTACGGCGACCTGCAGACTGTTCTGTCGAGCAACCTCGGCTCTCCTCGGTTACGAACAGTCATTAACATAAATTGTCTTCAGTGACAGTTACCACCACTACCTCTCTATAGTATCGGACAAAATAAAGTAGATACAACCGTAGTTGTATTCTAACTCGCAGATGATTTAGTCTTATTCTATATATATTTAGTAATATTTAGAAGAGTATATTCAAATCATCATTTAAAAATTTTATTTAGCATGCAACACTTCTGAGATAGTAATTTTTCTTATTATTTTTAACATGTTGTAATGAGATCTAATTTTTTTTGTATAAAACATAAACTTATCTGATATATATATATATATGAAGAAATTATTTTTAAAAGAAATAAATTATCAAATTCAGTAAAAAATCGAGCTACCTATATCTTTACTAAATCCTACACTGCGTAACTTTTTAAGAAAAAAGCATATTTGATACGTTTAAACTCATATTTTCTTTTTTATTTTACGATATACTGAATATTATAAAGTAACGTACGTTATTAAATTTAGTGAATAAAATTTTTGCACACACATTTACTTATATCTATATCATAAAAGAAAAAAACTTTTGTAGCCTTCTTCTTAAACTGTTTTCAAAAAACTTTCTAACTTCAGGTATAGATACTGAATTGTATTGTACATTGTGAGTTGATATAATATATAAGTTTCGAAAAGGTAAGGATGTTTCACGCTGAGAGTCAGACTGTACCATGAACACAATAGTTCGGCACATACCTGAATATCCATTAATATTATCAATAATATTAACGATAAAATAATGTTATATAAAATAATGTTATATAGATAATGTTACAATATTAACGATGATTAAAATTATAAAATTATTTTTAATATTGTAAAATTAAATTTCGTAAAATTGTCATTGCAATTGTAAAGTTATCATTACAAAATTATAAAATTATTTGTTGCTTATTATTTGGAAAAGTTACAAAATCTCTGTTTATATATTTAAATAAGAAAATTTGTTATATTTCAGATTAATTTAATAGTGTTATTTCTAGTATTTGAAAAATAATAATATTTATTTTTAAAAGCCAGTTTAGTTTAAAAAGCAAAAATAAGCATTTCAGAATATTCAAATCTATTTATATAATTTTTTGTACAACTTAATTATTCAAAACGTAAACTACAGCTTTAAATTTATGTGAGTAGTTCACACACTTGCGTATCTAATATACAATATTTAAAGTTAATATTTTTGTAATATTTTATTTTGAAACATGTAATATCTCATATTTATAATGTTATAATTATAATATATTTATATATACTAAAAAAAGAAAATTTTATTAAAAAAAATTTTGTACAGCTTATGATTTTATCCTTTTTTGTTTTATCAACGTCACGGTTTCGGCGAAAGAGCAATTAAAGTAAAAATCTAAGTGATCAGAGAAATCTTGTTTTCTCTCAGATGAGAAAAATTTATTCTATAAAAAAATTTCTTAATTTTTCTTGTGTGATCTTCTTTACATATTATTGTATTATATTGAGCATTTTTATTTGAGCAAAAGTATGAGTCTCTTATGTTTTGACAAAATAAAAATTTGCAATTATAATTGAGAGAGATCGTTTAGTTACTGATTGCAGATAAACAAGAAAAGTTCATTAGTAAAATGATCCACAATTCACACTAACTATTATTCTAACAGTGGGTGCTTTCCAACAAGAGATACAAATATACCAACAACAAGAATGTAATGACTCTGTGTTACACTGTATCTCTTGTTGGAAAAGTCGAAAGCACTCACTAACACAAATATTATATTTTTTAATTCAAAAATATAAATGTAATATAACAACACAACAGTTATACTACAACTATATCGTTGAGTAAGAAATTATAATAATATTATTAGTTATTATTATTATTTACCCATTATTAGAGGAGAATTCTTCTACAATGATATGTTATCGACATACAAAATATAAATTAAATTATTTATGCTTATATTGATATACAATATTTCTAAATTCAATTATTATATATATATTATATAAATTAGATTCAATTAATAAATTAAATTAATAAATATATTATAATTATGTTAGTTTATATCGGTAAAATAGAATGTTAGAAATATTGATTGAACAGACTATTTTTATTAATTTTACTGTGTCCTTATATTTTCATATATTTTAAAATTATTACATCATGACTTATTTAAAAATGTTTTCAGAAAAATATATAAATTTAGAAAAAAAGAAAAATATATTTACTTATATTAATTTTTCTATACTTATATGTATGTATATATAATATTATTTTAAAATGAAGACAATAAATTATATAATTTTGCAATTAAAATATCGTAGTACATAGGAATACACATATGTAATCTAAATGCATTTTTATTTGTAAAGAACAAAATAATATAACAAGTTGTACCAAATATAATATATATGTGAAATAATTTTTATAAAATATTAATATAGATGTATCGAAGTAAATATATAAATAAACAATATAAACTAAATGCACTTACGCATTTAAAATATGTTTAGACACTAGAGATAAGTATAAATTAAACATATATCTTTTATTTTTAATAAATACTATATAAAAATTACTGTTCTACGCCAATGTTGCAACTGCAGATAGTAGGTAGCGTGTGGCAAACTCCACCCTTTGAGTGGTAGGCTTAACCAACAAAGGACCACCTCTCGTCACCATCATCCCCCACTTCTTTTCGACACAATTTGATTCATGATGGCTGCGTTCAACTTATATTGCCATCTTTCAGACATTCTGTGAACTATTATGATATTTGTGGACCGATATTAAAAGTGAAACCTTCAACAATTACCGACTACGTATTAGAAGAGTTTCAGAAGTAAACTGTTCAGTCATTTACCATAGATGGCATAATTTCTAGAAACAGAAACAAATTATGATATCTGACAATTTGGCTTCAAACTCTGTAAAATTGATTGAAGTTGATATTATATATGAAAATACACATATAACATGTATATTAAAGAGAAGCTATAATGATTTTTTCCGCATCAGATAATTTACAAATACAACGTACTATATTATATATAATAAAAGTAATAAATGAAAGAGCAAAACATTCCTTTTTTATTATTATATATTTCGATTTTCTGTCATTTCGGACGTCTGGTTAGCGTATATCTACAGTAGACCGTATTATAATAATTCCTCTCGACCTACTGTGTGTAGACGTCACATCGCATTTGCAGGTGCTATGGCGCACAACCTCGCTGTCTGTCTTACCTAACCGTTGAACTCCCATGGGTCCAGTATTTTGAAATATGTAACTGATATTGGTCAAAGAAAGACGATTCTTTCTTTATGAAACATGACATCGGCTAAATTCACAACGTGAAGATATATAGGTCTGTATAATGAAATAGTCAAGAAGTGGATTTATGTAAAATAAAAGAGAGAGCATTGCGGTTTACAAAATATCTCTCTCGTCATATATTTTAAATAAACTTTTAAAATAAAGTAACAATTGCATGTAAATGTATTATAGAAACCATTTAATTACATATATTATAAAATTGATTATTTATAATTAAATCATTACAAGAGTAATTGATAATCTTATTCTGATAATAATAAACATTCATAAGAAAGAGAGCTTGTGTTGACACATTGATAACTTGTGAATCAATACAGCGAGCTTCTCAGAAAAATAATGATGGAATAGACAGAGTTGTTTGCGGGTAGAACTTCCCAGTGCTATTCCTCAGTTTGGAAGCTGCTACCAAATCTCAGCCCGTCACTACCCGTGTGATTGATATCTGCCTTCCCCTTTTCTTCATCTGTACAATTCGCATCACGAAGAGAGAAAACTATTTCGTTTGGTTTTTTTTTTTTTTTTTTGATCAGATTTCCACTCCGCCTGATCGTAAAGTATTCAGTTATTTTTATTAAAAATGATTTATTTCGGTTAGATACAAAGATGTTCAAAGACAATATTGCTGTTTGTTTGAAAAATATATATATAGAAACTAATTGCGGTAACACGTTTGAATACGTTATATGATAACGTGATATGAAATCGTTTCTGCCGAATGTTTTATGCCGTTTCGTAAAACAGCATCGCGAAAACTAGCACGCTTCAACCACCAATACCAGTTTCAGGTAGCGCAAGCAGCAATGTTGGCGGGTTAGGTGAGTAGGCGATGGAGTACCAGCCGAGTTCTGCGGCCGTCACGTCGGAGTGACGAGTGCCTTCCCTCCAACCTACGAAACCCATCCACCCGTCGGCCGCCCAACGTCACCCAATACCACCGCCGCCAACCACATACCCTCAGAGGGCTCTCCAGGTTCTCCGGAACCGCGGTGCACCCCCTTTCACTCTTTGCTTCTCTTCGACCTCTCTTCCTTCAACTACGGCCGACTAGTAGTCGAGGAATTCGAGTTGCTATAAATCTCCCTTGACGGGCGCGATGCCAACATGGCGAGGAAGGGGCCGGGACATGGGTTGCGGGGAACTGCGAGAACGAAGAAGGGAGGTGGCGTAGATAGGAGGCGAGATGGGGATGCTAGAAAAGAAGGAAACGCGCTTCGCCATACCAGGAATTGTAATAGTTTTGCTAGAGGGGTTAACGCGATGTGCGAGAGCGCCCCCGCGAGAATAGAAAGAACCCGAAGATCGGACGATGTGGCTCTGTCTTGGTCCGTGCCATTCCGGACCAAAGAATATTTCTGCTTTTGTTAAGATGTGTCACTCAAGATTCGCGTTATGCGCAGGGACGCGAACGAACCCTTCCGCCGCGGTTTGAAAATTGTAGAAGCAATTCTTATTGCTACTCGCAATCTATTTTCTCACAGAAAACTATGAAAGTGGTCATTAAATTGAATAAAATTAAAATAACTATCTTTGATTGCTTTATGTAAAAATAGTGAATCATCATGTGAACAGTAGCTAATTATAATAAATATATTATTATAAATGCGTTATTAAAAACATATA